TAGATAATGTCAATACTATTGATACATTATCATATATTTCTGTTTGTTTGTTTGTTCATGTTTATGGAAATAGGTTAATAATAATAAATTTTTTTAAAAAGTCCATGATATAAAGTGGGTAAATTTAATAGTGTTAAAAAAAATGTTACTAATATTAACAGGGTAAATTCATTATATAAACCCTTGGGTAAACTTAATATAAAAATTATGAAAATTGACTGGGACATCAATTAGAAGTTTCCGGGGTCCTTTTCTACCAATCATGGGGTTCTGGGTTGGGATTCGTGTAACCGAGGTAGGTGTGGTAAGAGTATTCGGCACAACCCCAAACAATAATTTACTTCGAGGAAAACAAATATTATTATTTAAAGCACATATATATTTAACAACTACAATTAAACAACAATTATGGAAGCTGATTGAGAAAATGCCAGATGGAGAAGAATTAATTGTGTCGAAACAAGGATTAAAGTGATCTGAAAGAGGAGGAATTTGAAGAATTAACTTTCAGATTAAAAACGATCATGACAGAAGAGATTTTGGAGATTCTATGATTGATGTTTCGCAGGAGCTCAATTTAGAAGAGGAATGATGTAAATTCAATGATCACGACATTGGTAATCATAGAAATAATAATAAAAATTTAGTAAATGTAGATAATCATATATTAACAGATATTAATCAAGATGATGATAAAAAATTGGTAGATGGAATTAACAGTAATCTTAATCAAGATATTAGTAATAGTCTATTAGTAATACATTAACACATTTTAATCAAAAAATTAACCAAAATATTACTCGAGATGTTAATAATAACATATTAACAGAAGCCAACACCAATACAACGACACCAGAAATAATGGATGAGGATAATCAATTGCAGGAAATGGAAATGAAATATAAAGAACAAATCAAACCTTTGAAGATATGTTTAACGAATTGCTTAATTAATTGATTAATTCATCAATTAAAAAATATATTCGTTTGTTCAGATTTTTTTTTTTGATTTTTTGTTAAATATAATTTTAATTTGATTTATTTAATTTTTTTATTATTATATTAATATACCATTCATTACACATAGATATGAATTTTTTTATCACACATATATATATATTTATATATTTGAATAATTTTGTAGATAAAACTTTTTTTAAAAATTCAGCTAACACCATTGAAAATTTATTTAATTTGGTCAAAACGCTTCACCATAAGTCGAAATTTTGACTTTCGATATATGATTTTGTTTTTGTTTTTTTTGCTCTTCAAATAGTTTTGGCGACCAACACTAAAGAGCAAAAAGAAAAAGGACAAGATCATCAACAAATAGGTTACTCAACAACGAACAGAACAACTGCAACTACAACCAAATCCATAAAAATTTTGTTCGCAACGTGTAATTTCTTTAAATAAAGAAAGCAAATTCTCAAAGATCGTCTTGCTCATTTCCGATAATTATTTGATGAGCTTAAATCCTTATTTGTAATATTATTTAAACGTTATGTATATTTATGTCTATTAAAACAAAAGTTTTTAATTTATTTTTCTTTGTAGGGATGGGATTACCTTATATCTTGACATTAGACTTTCTTACTTATACATTTTGTGCGATTACTGATGATAACCTAGCAACACACCACTTTTTCATGTTTGAAAGTTGATAAATATACCAAAAAGATAAAGCTTTGGATCATTTGGCGAATTATCAGGTCCAATTTCTGCATGTAGTTTTTATTAGATGGGATGACTGACTAGTTCCGAATCTTTTTATGCAACTGGCGATTATAATAATATTATATAAAAAAAATATTCATTCAAATATATATATATATATATTCACCCCTCCCCAAGAAAGTAAAAAAAAATTGATATTAAAATAATATTTATATGAGGTCAAATCAGCTTCGAATGTATATTAAAGAGATATTTATTTTCGTAATGAATTCTTTTAAAAAAATAATAATCCATATAATTTTTTCATTTAATCCGAGAGAAGGCGGATAGTATATTCTTTTTTACTTCTTAATACTCTTCTTCTGGTTTTAAAATCTGGTTCATCACCATCGCCATCACCATCGCCATCATCATGATGCTTATTAGAGCCATTTTCATTTTTTGATTTTGAATTATCAGTAGAGTTTGAATTTATAGTATTGTTTTTTTGTTTTTTTTTTGACCTACTTGATTCGCTTCTAATTTCTTTATAATAATTGTCTTTGTTACTATTATCATCATCGTCACCATTGTAATTTTTTCCAAATTGAATTATTGCTGAATTCTTCTTTTCTATATCTTTTACCATAAAACTTTTTTGACTTAAATGATAATTATAATAGTTGTCATCATCATAATCTTGTTTGTTTCTTTTCTTTTTATTAATTTGTTTTGTTGGTGTTCCCACAACATTATAATCACTAATTTTTATTTCTGAATTTTTTTTCAAATAATTTGGTACAGTTTCACCATCATCATCACCATCGTCATCACCATCACCATCACCATCACCACCATGATCATAACCGTCACCACCATCACCATAATAATCATCATCACCATCATCACCATTGTCGTTGCCATTGTCATCATCAATATCAATATTCATAAAGTTCAAGTATTCATCATCATCATCATCATCATCATCATCATCATCATCATCATCATCATCATCATCATCACCATCATCACCATCATCATCATCATCATCATCATCACCATCACCACCACCACTACCACCGTCATCGTCATCATCGTCATCATCATTATCATCATCATCATAATAATACTCGTCGTCCTTCCCATTATCAAAATTATTTTCACTTCCATCACCATTTTTTACAGCCCGACCCCAATGTTCTCTATCAACATCACGGCCATAATAAACAAACAGTTCTTCTCCTTTTTTAATATCACGTTTTGTCCAACATATAACTTGGTTGACAGTACTTCCTTCAAGGAATACTATATTACCAAATGGATCTTCATTCATAAAATGAAAAGGACAATGAATCTTTCCTTTTGGATCAGTGAATGGCTGTCCATTATCATCAGTTGCATCGAGTATCATATCCTTATATCTCATTGAATAATGTGATGACCTGCCTACTTTATCTTTATTTTGATCAAACTCATCTTCACTCATTGGAACGCCAAAATAAAATCCTAAAGGTGTTGCAATCGGAAGATTTATTTTGGCAAATAATCCATTGCCTGCATTTCGAATCGTGGACTTTTTAATTTCAACAACGTCAGTCAAACTTTTTGGTACATTGGTCAGATCTAATCCTTCAATAATCTCCTCATCTGTTGCAACAGTAAATTTTCCAAATTTTACATTATTGTCATAAATATTTTTTGATTTTTTGGTTTGATGTTTTTTGTTTAGTTCGACCGTTTGTAACTGATAGACACATAAAGTTCCTTTTGTTCTGCATTTTGTACATGATGGTAATTTCATATCGCAATTTGTATCTGCTGCGCATTGCCGACATCTCAAATGAAATTGTGTAGTTGTTCCTACACTAAGCATAACGACATGCCCACTATTTACTATTGTAGAGCCTGTTCAAATTTAAAAATTATCCTCAGTAACATTACGAATTTTTTTTTAAAAATAAAATATCAAATTTAATAATAATCTATATATTTGTGCGTGTATAAATATAATATACCTTGCTTATTCTTTTTTAATTTACCAAAACATAAAGGCCAATCATGATTTATCAATTTTCTCATCCAATTATTATAATGTCTAATAGCATCATCAATATCATTTGGTATGAATGCTAATTTATAATATATATTTTTTGAGTAAGGAAGATTTAATTCTTTAAAATATTTTTCTGAATTGTTCACCAAACAAAAACTAGCCGAACTTTTTGGTGACTAACCATATTAATATGCAAATTTGGAGGAATTAATACAATTAAGATTAAAATATTATCAATTAGTAAATATAATTATCAAAAAAAAATGATAAGTCACCTGACCACTAAAAACTCTTGGTAATCCTGTTTCAGCACTTAACCTTTCATCTAAAGTAATTGATGCATCAATCAACTCGTTATGTGACATAGTATAATTCGGCGCCTTTTGTAAAATCAAAAGAATCAATTGGTGTTGATTATGCCAGCAAGGTCTTTTTAATGATTTTTTATTGTGTCTTAGATAATCCCTTTGCATATCACTTATATTCTTTCCTGAGCAGTGAAATATCAATGGTACACATCTTGGAATGTAGTTATTTAAAAATCTTTCGCTAAAATCTTTTTGTCTGTCAGGTACATTTATTTGTATCAAGTCATTTAATCTATATCCTGATTCAATAGTAATTCTTTGCAGACATGAAAAAAATTTATCCATTCCAGTTTTTTGATTATTGTTTAGACTTTTTACAAATTTTGTAACATCATTTAAGAATGGATACAAAACATAAACATTCTTTTCAAAATTGTAACTAGCTGAACAGATATTTAAGAAATTTGAAAGAACTTCATTTGCATCTATCCAATCACCGTGTGACTGTCTTAAAATTGTTTTTGTTATTTTCATAAAATTCACATCAATATCACTTGAGGATATTCCATTAGGATTGTTTTTTGGTAATAATATTGAAACTAAAATTGCACTGATCTTATTAATTGTTTCGCCAGATGCATTTTCAGGATGTGGCGTTATATTGAGTATTTTCTCTATCAACTTTATTTTTTTTGAAACATTCATCTGATTTAAATTTGATATTGCAGTAGCAAAAGTACTCAGTGGAAGTGTTGATAATGCATTTATTGATATTTCTTTGATTATTTCTCCCCAGGCCTGTTCACAACTTAATCCTTTATCTAATTTTGGAGCGAGCCGTGGCTCTAGCCATTTTCGTAACATCTGAGAAATTTCAACTTTTTCTTGAAAAGCCTTTGCTGTTTTTACCATTTTTTTTCACTTGTAATCAAATAAGATAAAAAAGATAATCAAACCAATATTATTAAATTAATCAAATTTAGAACGGATTTTCAGCAAATTTGTAGATCCTACTTGATGATATCTTCTAACCAATATTTTTACTAGTTTGTATTGCCTGTCCATTATGAAGACCCAAATTATCTCAGGAAGTAAGTTTGATATTTGATGTATCCAATCAATTGCTCTTTGCAAAAAAATAAAAAATAAAAATAAAATTTTTTAATGAAATTCGTAATTTTTGTTTTTATAATGCGTACAAATAACTGAAATCACAACAACAACAATAATGTTATATTGTCAATCTTTAAATTTTACTTTCTTTCCAACCAATTATATTGTTAAAACTAGACAATTTGAATGCAAATTATTTATTATTGAATTTTGTCATCATTTGATGCAAAGGGTCATTTCATTTATCAGGACGTTTGAGCCAAACAAACCCAGTTGTTTGCGCGGAAGAGCTAAATCTATTTGGTTTATTTGTCAATTTGATGGCGGACAGAGTTCGTATAATTTGATCCAGGATTTGAGGTATCAGATATCATGTAAAATTGATAGCCACATCCGAGACTCTTGATTATTTTTTTTCGATAATTATCGCATCAAATGTTTACAGATACCACAATAGGGATAACAGCTATACATGAAGTCGAAATTAGAACCAAAGAGTCGAATGGTTGGAATTAAATCACGCTTATAGAAAATAAATCAAAAGCCATAAATTACCTTAACTCGGTCAATATCCAGCTGTTCTGGATAAAACAACTGCCGTTCGAATTCTCTCGATGAGTTGAGTCTAATTTGAATCACTGATTATTGAGATATTTTGGTTTACCATATATATTACAATAACTCGCCATTTATTGGTGCTGCGAACATTAAAATACCATTATTTGAATCCTCTTTATGGGATTATTCTAATGAGCACGTTTTTAGTTCTAAAGCTAATGGTTGAATACTTCTGGATGGAGATTGTTGATTCGGATGAGCTCCTAGTGAGTGGATGAACCGGATTTGGCCTCGTTTGATGTATTTCAGAGAAAATGATATTTTGCTGTATGATAGCAAGAAATATTTCGAAGCTAGAAAAGTAATAAGATTTCCGGATGAAAGGTGCTTTGCACCTGAAATTGGAATAGCTATATGTTATTCTCGTGATCAACTTCCGAAAATTTTTTTGGTAGATTCGTCGGCTTTCTCTGGCCTCAGGAGAATTATAGTCCACAAATTTAACATCGAGCATGTTTTCTAATTCTTTAATTTGGATTTCACCTGAGTATTTATTAGTCTGATAAAAATAACCTTTTCAGTTTTGCTTTTCCTTAGGCAAACTAGCAAAAAAAATGTGTGCATGTTGATCAAAGAACTAAGAATATAGGAAATCATCATCACATTGGAATTGAAATGCCGTGGTAATAAGTTCCGTGATATTATTTTCGAAGACTTGAACAAAAGCCTGAATCATAAGCATGTATTGCATCGATATGCTTTATGGGAAACTAATGCAATCAGAAAAATTCTGCGTGCTAGATGCGTTGTAAAAAGATTCGAGTTGCCAATGTTATTTTAGAGAATGAGTTTTGCGATTTATCTATTGTGGGATCGCGTCCGAGTCACGAATGACAATAATAATAATAATTTCCGCGAATATATATTTATGCTTCACTTTCGAAACTATACAATTCTCTAACTAGGTTTCACTCTACGTCCGTCTAGAGCCGCTCCCTAGTTAAAAATTCTCTTGTTATGTTTCATTCTATGCCCGGTTTATAGTTTTGTAATTTTGGTTACTAGTTTCTCAATTATGGTGTTACTGCGGTATTTTGTTTTTTGATGAATTCAAAAATTTCTTATGATAAAAAAATCAGATCTTCTATATCGTTGTTTTGCCCTTGAATTATTTGTTAATGTTTTGAGCCATAAATTCCAAGGTTTCAAGTCTACTCATCAATTCATCATAGTTTAAATTTTCTAAATGTGTTTGATTGCATTGACGTTTATTTATGGGGTATTTAATAATCCTTTTATTTTTTCTAGCCTTAAAAATCTTTAAATCATCAGATCCATTAACATCGTAGCCAGCGGATAACGTTCTTGATAATTGAGGCTTGATGATGATCCGTTTTGTGACCGAAGAAGTTCAGGTGGCAGTCGCGATGTATTTTTTTGATTTGTTTTTTAATTCTTTTTTGATTAATTAGTTATATTTCATGTTTTGTAGTGTTGATAGCATTTTTTTCAGAATAATTAACCGTGGTAGGGATACTGCTTATTTTCACGCCCCTCTTTTTTTAAATAACTCTTGATGAATGAAACAATGTTTTTATAACATCGTTTTAAGATGATATTTTTAAAATCATTTGGAATGATTTATTTTTACAAAAAAATTTGGAAATGGTAAATCTATCATATTTATTATTTATTTATTACATATTATTATAACCCACACTAGATTTAAAAATATAAACATAATGGAAAAATTAAAAAAAAATATTAATATCACATGCATAATAAGGAAATTTTAGGAAATTACTACTGCTACCATTATCATTAGCATTTACTTATTCCATCAAGGATATTAATTTTGCTAATACAATTTTTAATAAATGGATGATAAAATAACAATCTATTGGCTGATGATCTTTTACCTGGATTACTTGTGAATGAATGTTTTAAATATGATTCAAATCCCGGAGAAATATTTGAGGGTAAAGGAGGTAAACCAACAGATTTTATTAATTCTATAACCTAATAAATAAACAAATGGATATATAAATGTAAATAAGTATCATGTGAATTAATTAATCAATTAATGCTAAATGTATTGATTCTTACTCTATTTTTATTCATAGGATACCAAGGAGGTTTACCATCAAATAATTCTACTGCAGTTATGCCAAGTGACCATATATCAATCTTATTACTATAAATTTTGTTTTGCAATAATTCTGGTGCCATCCAATAAATTGTACCCAATTTTAATTTTGCATATGAATTTATTGACGACGATCCAAAATCAGCTAATTAATGTAAATGTTAATAATAATAATAATAATACTTTTATTAATAATAACTTTTAAAAATTGTTTAATGAAATCTTTTTTACCTATTTTTATTTTTCCTTCAGAGTTGACTAAAATGTTTTGTGCCTTAATATCTCTATGTATGAATCCAATAGAGTGCAAATGATTTAAACCTTTTAAAACTTCTTTCACTATAAAAGAAACTTCTTTTTCGTTCATTTTTTTATTTGGTTTCTTATTTCTAATATTGTATAAAGAGCCAAATTCACAATGTTCCATCAACAAATAAATATGATCTTTTTTAATATATTGGGTGTAATTTATTATTATGTTTGAATGCCTTGCTACTTTACTAATTAATACTTCATTATATAAAATATTTAGAAATTTCGAATCCCTTATTGAAATCGATTTAATAACAATCACTTTATTTGTTATTTTATGAGTTGCCTTAAACACTTCACTGAATTCACTAATGATAATAATATATGATGGTTAGTGGTGATATATAAATAAATAAATGCGTATATATAATGAATTACATGTTTACCCTGAATTAATTTTTTCCATAGAATAATTAACATTTAGATCGCTTTCTTCAATTAGATCTTTGATTTTATTTATGTAATATTCTCTATTTTCAGATTCAATTTTTTCATCAATGATTAAATCTTTAATGTTTTCATCATCTTCGTATTCATGACTTTCGTCGTTTTCGAGATCTTCATTTAAGGAATAATTTGTTATTTCAGTATCACATTGTTGATTATAATAACCTTCATATGGATTAAAATATTTGCTACTATAATTATTATAACTATTTTGTCGAATTTGTTCATATTGATTGTTAGAAAATTTCAATCTGCTTTCATTATATTCAATCTTTCTAGATTGTTTGTTGTTGTTGTTATTATTATTATAAATTAACTCTTCATTAATATCACTACTACTATTACTACTACTTGTTGACTCTTCATAGTATTTTACTGATACTTTATTTAATCCACTTAATGTTGTCAATAATTGTTGATTTTCTTCTTGCATTCTATTTAATAATAGTATTTTTTGTGGCGATTGTTGCTGTTGTTGCTGCTGGTGGTGATGGTGGTGGTGGTGGTGGTGGTGTATATGAAGCTGCTGCTGCTGTTGTTGTTTTAATTTGTTTGGCAATAATGACGATGACATCTTTTCAATTTTTGTAGTTGATAAATAATTTGATTTTTTATCATTATTATAATTAAATGATGATGGTGAATAATTATTATTTGATTTTGATTTCATTGAAGCCTTATTTGCTTCATTATTTGAATTTATTTTAATCTTAAAAAAACAAATAAATTATTTCAAAATAAGTTATTTAATCAATATCAATAATCATATTCAATAATTGTGAAATATGACGTACCAAAACTTTCTTTACTATCCAATTTGCGAAAAAATCCCCATTAAAACCAAATATCATTTCTAGTCCATGAACCAGTCCATAAATCATCAATGACATTATGATTTTTTTAAATATCAAATTACCAAGTTCTGGTATTACCAAATCAACTGATAATGAATAAAGTATCGTAAATATTAGCCAAATTATTTGGTTTTTTTTAATAAATATTCTTTTCGCTGTCATTCTTCTAGTTTTTATTTTTAGTTATAATTTTTGTTGTTGTTGTCGTTGTCGTCGACTTTGTTGTGGTTATTGTACATCTTATAGGGTAAATAAACAATTTTTGATGAAAAAGAAAGATTTTTTTTTAAATACGTTTTAATATGTGTGCTTTTAGAAGATTGTAGCTGTTACACTAACTGAATTTAGAGTTATTATTTTTTTTTTTTTGTGGTCGATCAATTCAAAAAAAAAAATGGCTCAAAATATTTTTATTGTAGCAGCAAAACGTAAATATAAGATACTACTTTTATATTTATTTATATAATAAAAAATAGAAATACCTAATACCTTTTAATTCGTGTGTATATATATATTTATGTGTATGTACATTAGGCACTGCCTTTGGCACATTTGGAGGTTCTCTTAGAGATTTGACAGGTAAATTTTTGACATATTCAGTTTTGAAATTATTCACCTTTAATAAATTTTCTTCTATTGTAATTAAAATAAATCACAGCTACCGAACTTGGTAGTGTTGCTGCAAAAGGAGCACTATCTACTTTACCACCAAATTTACCAATTGATTCAATAATTTTTGGTAATGTAAGTCAAACTGATAGCACTGCTCCATATCTAGCAAGGCATGTAGGACATCGTACAGGTCTGCCAATTCATGTACCAGCTTTAACTCTTAATAGATTATGTGGATCGGGTTTTCAAACAGTTATCAGTGCTATACAAGAAATTCGTTCCGGTGACTCAAACATTGTTCTAACAGGTGGCACTGAAAATATGAGTAAATCACCATATAAACTTAATAATATTAGGTGGGGTACTACTTTTGGTTTAGATTTGACATTGGAGGATTCCTTAGCAATTACTTTAGTTGATCACTATCCAACAAAGACTCCCATGGGAGTTACTGCCGAGAATTTAGCCAAAATATATAAGATCACTCGTGAACAAGCTGATGAATATGCTTTAAGTAGTCAAAAACGTTGGGCTGCTGGTAAATATATAATATTTATTGTAATATTCACAATATGTATTTATTTTATTAATACGTATGCATTTATATATATTACTATTAATAATAACATTATTAATAGCAAATGAGGCAGGATATTTTGAAAATGAAATTGTACCAATTGAACTTAAATTACGTAAAGGCCAAATAAAAGTATTCAAGACTGATGAACATCCACGTCCACAGACTGAAATTCAATCTTTACAAAAACTTTCTCCTGTGTTTATCAAAGATACTGGCACTGTGACAGCTGGTAATGCATCAGGTATTAGTGATGGAGCTGGTGCAGTGGTTGTAGCATCAGAATCAGCTGTTGAAGAACATAAATTAACACCTTTAGCAAGAATTGTTAGCTACCATGTTTCTGGAGTTGAACCCACAATTATGGGAATCGGTCCTGTGCCTGCTATCAAAAATGCATTAGATAAATCTGGCTTGAAATTGAGTGACATGGATTTGATTGAAGTTAATGAGGCTTTTGCTGCTCAATATTTAGCTGTTGAAAAGGAATTAGGATTGGACAGAAGTATCACTAATACGAATGGAGGTAAAATAATAATAATAATTTTTGACCTAATTAGTTAATTAATTAATTAATACTAATGACAATAATAAAATTATTATATATTTAGGCGGTAAGTTTGTTTATTAATATAAACTTATAACCGATTTATTAATAGATTCATTCATTTTATATTTTTTACTAAAATATTGTTTTTTTTAAATATAGCTATTTCACTTGGACATCCACTTGCTGCGTCAGGATCAAGAATATTGGCACATTTAATAAATGAACTCCACAGAACCAATAAAAAGTATGGACTAGGATCTGCTTGTATTGGTGGTGGTCAAGGTAAAATAAATAAATTAAATTAAACAATTTAATATTTATTAATTATTAATTTATTTGGTTGGTATTGTTTAGGCATTGCAATGATAATTGAACGTGTTTAAATATTTAGATTATATGTAAATATTAGAATTCTTTGTATTTAATTTAAAAATATAATAATTCATTTTATTTGATAAAAAAACAAGACTAAAGACAATTTTCAATAAATACATTAAATATTACAACCTTTTAGATATAAAGTTACTGATAAAGCTACTAGAAAATAGAAAGAACTATTTGGAAGTAATAAAATTTTATGGTTATTTAAACAGTGTTTGCTTTTTAAAATTTGTTTGATGAACGATCAAATAATTTAAATATAAACAAATACAGTGTAATGAAATGAAATGAAATTAAATATCACACATCATCTTATCATACAATAATCTCCTTGCCATTGCTATTATTTTTATTTTTGAGTGATTTCACAATTTCTAAATTCTGGGTTCCAAATATCAAATTCTCTTCTGGACATTGCATAAGTAGTATCAACTAATAATATAATGTTTCCAATTGAGTATACTAATGTTATTGCATAAAAGAAATTAGCATTGCCACTACCAGCATAAATCCATAAATGATAAAATATGGGTGATAATATTGAACAATAACAAAAAATATTTGTTGTAAGATAATTATATCTCATATCTAAAGAGATATGGAAAAATGTAAGTAAAAAATAAATAAATGATATCTTAGTAACATAGATAAATATATTAGAGTTAATGACTTGCATTTTATAATTTCAGAATAAATTGGTAAGAATGAAAGATAAAGTGCAGCATCACCAATTGAAGGATAGGATTTGAATGTTGCCATGATACCACATAATAGAAATATAGCAAATAATGGATGATTTCTAAATAAATAAATGAATTATAAAATGAAAATTTAATTCATTTCAATATTGTTCAAACATTTTCCATAATAATATCTATTGTTTTTTTTACCTGAATTTTAAAGTTACTGGTATAGCAAATATGAAAGCATGTAATTGAAATACTACAAGAAAAAAACTACGAAATTGATCAAACATCTCAATAAAAAAATACCAAAATAGGCCAATATTAGGAGTTAAATCTGGTAATAAAAGACTTACAAACCAAGTTTTTTTTTGAATAAATTAGAAATTAAATATATAAATTTATTTAATTATTTAAGTGAGGTTTAGGAAAAACTTACATTACACCATATGTTGATTTTAAGAAATCCCAAGATCCAACTAATAAATAAGACAAAATCAATAACCCTTTAAACCATCCAATAAATAAAACAGCACAATAATAAATATCATTCTATTTATTTTTAAATAATAGAGTATAGTTAATTAGGTGATTTATTAACACATAAAATATGATAAAATAGGTTCAAACTAACTTTAATTTTCCCTTCTTTAATTCTAGATCCGTTTATTAATATTAATATTATTGGTATTATTAACATCAATGGATAAAAACTTAGATAGGTTGCCATTGAAATCCAAAACAATCCATAACTCTTATTAGCTTAAAATATATTATTGTGAAAATATGATGATATGATATATTTGAAAGTTTGAGAAAGTCAATGAATTATCAATGGTCTGACTGGTTTTACTTACCTTTGAGAGAATAATATACACCGAGGACAATTGAAAGATTTGTAAATATAATTGTTGATTTTGATAAACATGTTGCAATAGTTAATGGATTAAAAAGATATCTTCAAAAAATATATAGATATATATATATGTGAATATCATATGAATGTTGTAAATATTGTATTATGGTTTATTATTATTAATAGATAATAATTAAAAATAAAATATTCTATTCTTTTCTCTGATTATTAGATTAATCTAAAATCTTTTAAATATCTCTTTCTAAAATATTTTCCTCGCACTGATTAATAAATATTAAATAGAAGGATACAATCCAGCAACTATCCAAGGGTCAATTTCTTTTGGTTGATTACTTTCTATTTCTATTTCAATACGTGGGAAATCTTTGTACAAGCATTGTTTTATATGTGTGATTTTTGTTAACAAGTAAGCCAACAAAAGATCAGTCGTTATATATGTCAATATTATGAAAATATTTGGTAAATAATTTAGTAGATGAAAAAATGCTAGGAAAAGTGGTGCCTAAATAAAAATGTAAAAACATTAGTATATAATAATATTTTATAAATATATATATATACACATAATAAGTTACTTGGTGAAAAACTCCTCCATCGTATGGTGGAACACCATGTTCAAATAAATATAACCCTTCAGTTACTAATAATTTACATATAACATAATATTAATACGATATTGATATTAATATTAATATTAAATCGAATATTATTAAACCTTACATCGAGTAAAACTTGTTACAGGAGTAACAATTTCTACACGGCTTCCAAGTATTTCCGTGATATTATAAAACTGAAATAATATAAATCTTATTAGAAATGCTGATCCAAATATTAATAATCTAAATGTTAATTTTGCAGTTTTATTATTGCTTGATAACGATAATATTGATTTTTCTTTTTGCATTTTTTTTTTTTTTTAAAATGAAATGATCTACTTTGATGATATTGATAATTCCCATTTTTAATCATGTACAAACTTACAATGTTTGTAGTATCAGAGATTTCCTCTTTATGTATAAAAGAAGAATCTAAATTTTTGGTGAAATTTAAGTTGATTCCTCAGTAAGTTTTATCATATACGGTTTATATATAATATTTTTTATTTTGCAGTGCAAGGTTTATCAGATTTAATTACTAGTTGATTATAATATCGTAGAGATAAAACCGGTAAACTTACATTAAAGACAAACAGACATGGAAACTGTATATGATTTGGGTCGCAAGATAATAGATTGAAAACATTGTAATATGACCTAATTGATATATATCAATATTATTAATAATTAAAATAATACATATGCTTAATACATAAACAATCTCTAGAAAGAATCAATTCTGGCATTGTAATTCGTAAAAAGACTTCTTCCCAATTATTTTTCCAAATATTTTGGGTAGTTTAGGTCGAAATGGAATCTGGTACAAGTCTGTACCAGTCGATGATAATAATACAGATGGTTGTAAAATCTATATTTTGGAAAAATTTCACAGGGAACATTTGCAAAAGTGTATAAATAAATAATTGTTAAATATATATGTTGATCAATAAGTATAATGACTTAAGAATAATAAATAAATTATCAATTGAATGCAGTTTCAATTGCATCATTAAAGTCACTCCATACTAGGAATTGAGTGTATACCTTTCAAGTGATCCAAATTTAGATGTTGGGATTAATTTGTTAATTACACTAATATAAAGTTGAAAGAAAAAAATTTCAAACTAGTAATTTATTCCAGTGATACAATTCTCTTTTTTCTCATAAAAACCTGTACCTAAACCTGTCTTATGTACTATGTAACGCGTTTTTAATATTTACGCGTAGGTTGGTTTCATAAAATTTAATTAATAATGAATTTTTAGCTAATTATCTATATGTACATACAAATTACTTTTTGGGAAATTTCAGCTAGATTGAACTCATAGTAGTTATTAATTTATTAATTTTTGGTTACGATTTTATTAATGTTTTTTGTACGACTGGAAAAATTTCAAGAAAATAAAAATAATGCGCAACATTGTAATTTTAGGAGGTTCTTCTCACCCACAATTAGCTGAACAAATCGCCTTAATGGTTGGTGTACAACTTGGGCGTGTCAAGTTATCAAAATTTTCAAATAAAGAAACAAATGTAGAAATTCAAGAAAGTGTTAGAGAGAAAGATGTTTATATTATTCAATCAGGTTGTGGACATGTTAATGATAACTTTATGGAGCTTTTGATTATGATATCAGCATGTAAAACTGCTTCTGCTGCTAGAGTAACTGCTGTGATTCCTTGTTTCCCATATGCAAGACAACCAGATGCTCCCTATAAAAGAAATGGGGCTCCTTTATCGCGTATGCCTAAAAATAATTCTACAGATTATACATATGACACACCAGCTATACTTGGTTCAATTCCTACATCACCATCATCATCTGAAGTAAAGGACCCTCTCAGCGTTGCTTTTAATAAATTTAGCGTTCAAGATTTGCCATCGAAAAATTCGGATAATAATGATGATGATAGTGATAGTGGTTATAAACATTGGATTGCACGATCTGGAACCCTTATAGCAAATCTTTTAACATGTGCAGGTTATTATGTTTCTGTGATGAAAATGTACTGACTTGGATTTTTCAAATAATCCTATTTCACATAGACAATTAATCATTATTATTCTAATAGGAGCTGATCATATTATGACTATTGATCTTCATGATCCTCAATTTCAAGGATATTTTGATGTACCTGTCGACAATCTATACAGTGAACCATTAATGATCAAATACATAAAAGAAAATATTCCAAATTGGAACAATGCAATAATCATATCTCCAGATGCAGGTGGTGCTAAAAGGTAAATTAACTAAATGAAAACTATTGAACTTGATTTTAATTATTATTATTTCAACTAAAAAAATACTCTGTATTATTATACTAATTAAAATATCTAAATAATTACTCTGTGTTCTTTCCCTATATTATTATTATTAGAGCTACTTCCATTGCTGATAAACTTCGGATTGATTTTGCACTTATTCATAAAGAACGACGTTCTCAACATGCACCCCACAAAATGGATATGATGTTAGTTGGAGATGTTAAGGATAAAATATGTATTCTGATTGATGATATCTCAGATACATCATACACCATTACTAAAGCTGCTCAAATACTTATTGAAAATGGAGCAAAAAAAATTTACGCGCTTATTACTCATGGGATTTTAAGCGGTGATGCTATTCAACGAATACAGTCCAGTGTTATTGATCAGGTTATTGTCAGTAATAGTGTTCCACAGGATGAACATAAAGCACAATGTTCAAAAATTAAGGTTTTTAATGTTGCTCTTATTCTTGCTGAGGCAATCAGAAGAATACATAATGGTGAGAGTGTTAGTGCCTTATTTAGTCGAGTGGATACAATATAATCAGAAATATTATTAATTTAAATTTGACTAAGTTATATATAATAAATCTACAAGTCAATAATTCATTGCTTATAATTATCATCCAAATGTATGCATACTTATATTTAACTTTCCACTTTTCTTGGGTAAAAATAATAATAAATTTAATCAAATCCAAAGAAAGATGCATTTTAATTAAAAATATTTAAAGAAAAGCAACGACGCATAATATAATAATTTTAATAATAATGATAATTAATTAATTATAGATCTTTTGTTTTTCCAGTATTGTCATCTGTTAAACAACCAATCTAGTATCATATTTTTGTGAATAATGGTAGATTTAGTTGTTGAAATTGATATTGTTGACAAATTTTCGTTGTCTGGTTTTCTTCTATATAAAAATTATTACTAAAATTATTACTATGATCTTTGTTTAGTGTAAAGATGATCCTTCCTAAAAAGTCAACGTTATTTTTCTTTATAGGTAAGATGTTCACGTTTCAAAATTATCATGCCAAATGGAAAATAATTTTTTGTAATTTTTCTACGCATTTGTTCATTACTTTTCTCTCCGTTTGCTTCACGCAACTTCTTCCCCACTCCAAAACTCCATTTTCCCATTTTCCGTTTCCTTCAACTCCTCATCTAAATTCCTTATATGGTGCAAGTCACTTAGTAATGAACTTTTATTGGCTGTGTATATCCTTCAACTCCAAAAATAGAAATATATATCCAAAAAAAAAAGTGAACACTTGTATTACCAAGAATTTCAGGGATCAAAATTTAGTCATTTGTAATGTGATTATAATCAACAGTTTTATAATATTAATATCCCATTTGTTATCTTAAGTGATATATAGAACTACCCCTAATACTGTATAAAAATAATAACATTAATATGTAAATTATATCAGATCTACTATGGAAGAAAGAACAAGGAGATACTCAGACACTTGAAACTTATCTAAGAAAAGAAAGGATCACCTATGAAATTTATCAAGAAGAAAGAAAAATAATAAACACTAAGAAAAGAACATTAACACAGAACCACCAAGAACCCAGAAAGAAAAGAAAATCAGCAGAGAAATAATTTGCTGTCTAATTTTAGAATAATATTATCTTTTAAAGATTAAAGATATTAAAAAAAGATTTGATAAAAAAGAATTAGTATGAGTTGGTTTGACTTGCTTAGGTTTTACTTCAATTATTTGCTCTTGTTTCTTTTTTAAGTGAATTTTCTTTCTCACTTATCTTTTTTCTAAACTGTAATAGTTTATTCTTTTTCCTTGGTAATGATGGCAAAGGCTTATTAATTAAATATAATTCTTATTTTAACTGCTGAATTTCTTGGGCTTGTTGGTTCATTCCTTGCTCAATTGTTTGCAATTCATTCCCCTTGCTTGTAAGGTCAGAAAAACACCTTGTATTTCCTGATTCTTGTCTTTCTCTAACTTCTCTAAGTTTTCAGCTAATTGTCTTTTACTTCATTCTTGGGCTACTTCTAAGGCTTCAAGGTGACATTCAACTTTTTCTTCTCCTTTGACCCTAGTTTCCAAGAAATCTGAAAGCTCTATCTATTTTTCTGCTTCTCCAGTTTTACTTTTTCAATTGATGTGATTGTTCAGTTTTTCAATACTTTCACTGTACCAAGGTTAGATGTTTCAAAAAGAAAATGTTGATATTTCTGTATACTTGGTAATTTTTTAAAATAAATTCCCAAAATAGCTTTAATATCTAAGTATTGAAAACCTTTTCCACCTTCATGACATTGAGCTTTATTCAATCCAGCTGGACTAGATCTTTTCACTGCATCAATCACATGGTCCAGACAATCTACACTTGTTTTTCTATAGAGTTTTTTGAATTTGGTATGTCCTGGAATCATGAAGTTCAATTCAATACTTTCATAATAAACATAAATTACCAAATATAAATAGAACCAGATTGTTACATTATTTTTATTTTGTCCTCCAGCATTATTACAAGTAATCTTTAAATGCTTTCCACCTTCGTTCAATTTCTTAATTCCATCAAAAATCATGCTAAGTATACCATTAGGACTTTTACCTATTGCGAGCGTGTAAATTCAATTACAGCTCGGGTTGTGTCCAATAAATATATAAGATAAAATAATAAAAAGTCCAATATATAAATCTATGTCTCCCTGATTACGGCACACAGCTCAGGGTTCTCAATCCCGACCTCTGATTACGGCACACAGCTCAGAGTCTCAAATCCCGGCCTCTGATTACGGCACACAGCTCAGAGCCTATCTATTGCGCAATTTCTCTACAGTACTAATAGAAGTACTGCTGGCCTAAAAATGATAAATAAAATAAAAAGAATATATACAAGAAATATTTACAACTATACCACTTGAGGCGTCCCTTCAAGCAGCATAGAACAATCAAATGGGGGGTTCTAACTAATGATTAGTGGCCAGCCACTAATCATCAGAGAGGACCATGGAACAATTCACAATGGCTTTTCCTATTAACTATGCAAAAATTCGTAATAAGGTAAAATGTGTTTATTTAATTATTAACAACGGGGGGGGGGGAAAA